CAGCCCACAGCTGTCAATACCCCAGCAGCTACTCATCACCCTGATGATGATATGCAGAAGCAACATTCCCAGCCACATTTTCTACAAGGCTGTCTCAGATCATGAGGAAGATCTGAGGTCCACTTCACTAGAGGGGACCTTTTAATAAAGTGTCATCGGCTCAGAGCTCTGCCTCAGTGGCTTTTCTCGAAGACTGGGCAATTCTAATCCCCACAGAATCCCCTCGAAGCCAGTAGAAGCCATTGGCAACAACAGGTCCATACACCTACTTTGCCATCCTTGGAAGATGTGCATGAGCTAATCTCACAATCTGCACCATGTCTGTTGTGGTTGAGGGTTTCCCAAGCAGGCTTTTACAAATTATCTTGGGGCAGCTAGGTGGTGCAGCGGATAGAGCACCAGCCCTGGAGTCAGGAGGACCTGAGCTCAAATCCGGCCTCAGACACATAACACTTACCAGCTGTGTGACCCTGGGCAAGTCACTTAACCCCACTGCCTAGCCAAAAACAAAAAAACAAGTTATCTCAATCATTTCCCCTAAAGGGCCTGAAAGAGGTAGCAGAACCAAACTCTCATTGGGCCCACTGTCTGTGACAATAAATGAGTATTTTATTCTAGAGCAGAACTCTACCCTCAGGGCTCTGTCACCAACCAAGCATCTCCCATGCACATGAAAAAATCATATTTTAAAAAATCGTGGTTAGATGAAAAAATCAGAGCAGGGGTAAACTTTGCTACACTCACTGGTCATTAACACTAAGTAAAGCAGAAAGCAGGAAGACCTCTGTGTCCTCCCCGGAGGTGCTTAGCAGGGTCCTTGCTCAGCTGATGGCCCCAAGCCCCAGAACATTTCAGAAGCTCCCACGTGAGAGCTGTACCCGCTCCAAAGAGTTTGGCCCAACCATCCACACAGAAATAGTCAAGTGGACAAAGAAGGCTAGTCTAGGGGATGCAAGACCACCTATGAAGCTCTTCCATCAGTATGTATAGGCCTTCTTGGGCAGACTTTATGTGTCAGGTACTGCTAAGTGCTTTACAAATATTAATTGTTTAATAAACATTTATTAAGTGCCTCCCACATGCCAGGCACTGAGCTAAGTAATGTGGATACAAAAAGAGGCAAAAGACAGTCCTTGCCCTCAAGAAGCTTACAATCTAGTGGAGGAGGCAACATGCAAACAAATATGTACACACAAGCTATATACAGGATGAACAGAAAATAATTAACAGAGGAAAGGCACTGGAATTAAGAGGGCTAGGGGACTTTAGTTGGGACATTGGGAATTGAAGGAAGCCAGCAAGGTCAGTGGGCAGGCAGAGGAGGGGATTAAGAATTATCTCCTTTGATCTCCACAACAGCCATGGGAGGTAGGTGCTGTTATTATCTCCATTTTCAGATGAGGAAACTGAGGCAAATACAGGTGAAATGACTTGCCCAGAGACATAACTGGTAATATCTGAGGCCAGATTTGAACCTAGGTATTCCTGACTCCAGACCCACCACTCTATGCACTGTGGCAGAGCCTCTGTAGAAAGTGGGAGAGGGAGTTGATGAGGGAGGGAGAGCAGGATTGCCTGGTAGCCGTGAGGGCTCACTGATGTTGTGTGATATTGCTTTGTAGTGGACCTGATCAGAATGGCTGTGTGATTTTCTCCAACTTCATTCAGCAGCCTGAGTAGGCATGAAGGCAGCAAGCAGCAGGTGGGAGGGACCCAAGGCAGAAAGCTGGCAGCAGTGGAGTTGGGGAGGGTGCAAAGGAGTGGCAAGAAAGAGGCAAGGTCGAGTTGGACTGGTTCGCCAACAGATTGAAATGAGGAAGGAGTTGCATCTGAGTACCAAGGGTGGCAGCTATGGGGTAGAGTGACTGGAGTACCAAGAACCCAGGGAGATGTGGAATGACGACAAATCAGGTTCAGATAAGAGGAATTCAGAGTTCATGCACATGGAGGTGGTGTCTGTGTCAGTGAGGTTAAGGTAGGACCATCTTTGGGCATGGCTCAAGTTGGGGAGATGAGCAGGCTGAGGATTGTTAGGGTGTTCGAGAGTCAGTCAATAAATAGGTTGAAGTCTCCTAGTATGAGGGCAGGAGGTGGGAAGGGGAGACAGACCTGTGAGCCTTAGTCTCCTCTTTTGTAAAAATGTAATACCATTGACCTCCCCAGGCTGTTCTGGGGGTCAAATGAGATGACTTCAAGAAAGCAATTTACTAACCCTCAGGCACTGTAGAAACGTGAGCAATTATTAGCTATTGTGACTGGTCAGGTGCTGGCAATCCCATGGTCACCATGGTTGTTGGGAGCTCCAGCTAACACCAGGAGGAATTTGGGGAGAACACCAAGTGAGGCAGCATGGAGCCATGGACACCAAGAAAGCCTGTGTTCAAATCCTGCCTCAGACACTCCACTGGACAGATGACCCAGGGCAGGTCACTGCCTCTCCTGATCTCAGTTCCTCATCTGTGAAAGGAGGGTGAGATGAGAGGGCCAATCGACCAATATTTGTGAAGTGCACACAATGGGGCGGTGCTGTGCTGTGCTCTGGAGATACAATGAAAGGTAAAATACGGTCTCTGCCCTCCAGAAGCTCCCGTTATAATGGGGGAAATAACATGCAAAAAACTATATACACACATAGATAATATACATTTTTGTTGTTCAGTCTTTTCAGCCATGTCCAACTCTTTATGACCAACTCTTCATTTGGGAGTTTCTTGGCACAGATACAGGAGTGGTTAGCCATTTTCTTCTCCAGCTCATTTTACAGATGAGGAAACTGAGGCAAACTGGGTTAAGTGACTTGCCCAGGGTCATACAGCTAGTAAGTGTCTGAGGCCAGATTTGAACCCTGGAAGATGAGTCTTCCTGACTCTAGGCGACACTGTATCCACTGCTCCACCTAGCTGCCCCACACATTACATACATGCATGCACACACACATACATGTGTAGCAACACAGGTGTGGGCCTCACACATATGGTAAGGCTCATATGTGGTGGGGAGGACACTGTCCTTGGGTGTGGCTCAAAGGGAGGCAGAAGAGACATCTCCAGCCTTTTCTCTCCCCACCCCCCTTCTCCAAGGGAAACTTTCATTCCTGCCAAGAGGGGAGGTGAGAGGTTGGGGCCAGAGGCCACTACTGTGCCCTCGTTAGAGAGAGGGGGGACCAGCCTAGAAACATATCTAAATGCTCCCTTGAATATGATTGGGTTCTGCCATCTTGTTATCTCTGGGGGTAAGAGGAGCCCCAAGCTCCATAGCTAAGGCTCAACTCCTTTCCCACCTAAATACCAGTTTCACAATGACCACATACATAGCAAATGGCAATGAAGCCCATTTATCCAAATCGTCACAGAACAGAGAAGATATACATAGGAGAATACATACATACCTACCTACCTACATACATACATATATATATCAGACAATGGAGAGTAAAGGAATTCTCCCATTGGGAGCAAGGCAACAGCTCCACCAAGAGGGAGGGCCCTGGATTTGACCCAAGGTGAAATCCCCCCCCCCAGTCTCAGGGGTAGCAAGCTGGGAGTAGGGACATGATGGAGACTGCCCACTCTTCTCATGACTTCCTAGGGTATTCCTTCGGCAGCCTGAAGGGGGATGGCCTCTTCCATCTTCTCTTGAAGCTGGAAGCCAACTGGACACTACCTGTGAAGAAGACTCTTGCTTGGAGAGTCCTCAAAGTGGGAGGGAGGGGCTGTCCTAGAGCTTCTTGAACATATGTGAGGCAGGGCCTTCATCTCTACCATTGAGGACAGTGTTCCATGGCAAGGGGCTTTGGGACAGGGGTTACACATACATGCATACATTCATACATACGTATATACATGCATACCTACATATGTACCATATATGTACATGCAGAGAGATATATGCAGGGTAGAAGGAAGGCACCAGCAGTTGTGCTTGGGGTGGGGAAGGAAAGGATCTCAGAAGCAGCTGCGGTGTGAGCTGAGTAGCTAACAAAGCTGGGGAAGGCAAGAAGGAAAGGTGAGCAGGGAGAGCTTTTCAGACATGGAGCACAGCCATCAGGAGATGATAGCAAGAAGCCTGGTGTTGCTGGATAATACAGTACATGAGACAAGGTAAGGTATAAGAAGACTGGCAAGGTGGGGAGTCCCAGGCAGAGTCTCTTCTGTTTGATCCTGGGGGTAATATGGAGCCTCTGGAGTTTATTGAGTAGGGGTGGCAAAGTCAGACCTGCATTAGGGCTGTTACCTTGACAGTGGGGTGGAGTATAGATTAAAGTGGGCCCAACCAAAAGGCTACTGCCAAAGTCCAGGTGTGAGGTGATGAGGGCCTGCCCCAGGATTGGAGGAGAAGAGGCATCAAGTACTTAAGCACAAGCTCTGTGCCAGCACTTTACCAAGCACTAGAGATACAATGAAAGGCAAGAAACAGGCCCCACTCCCTAAGAGCTCAGTCCAAGGCAGAATTGATAGGACCTGATGCCATGATGTGAGTAGGAGAGAAGAACTGAGGATGACCCCTAAGTCGTGAGTCTCGGTGACTAGAAGGATGGGGGTGCCCTTGAGAAGTTGGGAAAACAGTGAAGTTATCTGCACATAGATGATAATGGAACCTAGGGAAATGTTGAGGTCAATCAAGGCAGAAGAGGGCCCAGGTCCCCTGATGTTAGTGGGCGTGACCAGGAGAAAGAAAGAAAAACCAATAAAGAAGACTTGGAAGGAATAGTTAGGCAGGTAGGAAGAAAGCCTGGAGAGGAAAGAGGATCTAGGAGAAGATGGTGATGGGGCTCCTTCTAAATCTACAACTCTTGTCAGTTTCTTAATGGTTCTCTAAGGAGATATAACCACTGTCATTCACCATACATATGGTCAGTATGGACTTGTCAACTTAGAATCTTGGTCCAAGGCCCCATCTATCAGAAGAACCACCCTTCTCCTTGGTCAGATTTATTCAATAAACCTCATTCACAAGAACATTTCATAATATAGTGAACCACACAAACTTTGCTTCCCTGTATGTAGTCTTTATTCATGACCAAAGAAGTACACACACACACACACACATGTATATGTATATATAAAATCAAACTGCATTACTACAAACCTTATGTGGGCTATATGCCTCCCACTTGTCTTGCGACAAAGCAGCCCTCAACCAATTTACAAGTAGAAGCCAAACCAATACATTTCTGGAAATTTCTTACAGACTTGCCCTCCCCATGAGTGCTTGGCACACAGTAGGTGCTTAATAAAGACTTTTTCATTTATTCATTTGTTCTAAAGCTGTTCCACTTCTTGGTTTCTGTACATTGAGGGATCTCCTGCTCCCAAGTGACGTGGCGGGTCTCTGGTCCCTCCTCTGGGCAGCCATCAGCAATCTGAGTTCAGACACTGAATCTGTATTCTTCTCTCCTTTTTCCTTGATGTTGGCTACTCTGCTCTAGCCACTGCTCAAGCCTCTCCAACCTCACTGGAGTCACCCTTTGAGTAGGGAAGAACAGAATGATGGGCCAGGAAAAGGAATTAGCCTTAGCAAGCAAAGCGTGGAGAGCTATTCCCCAGGGACTAGAAGGGAAAAGAGGCCAGATAATGATGCTGAGAATTTTTTAAAATGGAGTTGAGGAAGCAAGTTCCTGTCACATCAACACAATCTGCAAAGCAAATTAGCTGAAATGTGGGAGTTGTTGGAGTAAGGCGATGGGGGGCTTAACACAAGTGAAAGGTTTAGAAAAGCTAGCATAGGAAAGTCGACCACCATTACATGCATTGAATTCCCCAATTTTCCCTGAAGTACATGACCTGGCCAAAATTCTTATAACCATTTCACTCATAAGGATTTAAATTAATAACATTTCTCTTCAACATGAATCGTCTGGTGTTGGATAAGCTGCTTGTTCAGGCAGAAGGCCTTCCCACACTCATGACAAATGTAAGGTTTCTCCCCAGTGTGAATCATCTGATGGCGTGTGAGTGTCACACTTCGGTTGAAGGCCTTTCCACATTCATTGCATTCAAAAGGTTTCTCCCCGGTATGAATTATCTGATGTCGAGAAAGGGTAGTGCTACAGTTGAAGCCCTTCCCACACTCATTACATTTATAAGGTTTCTCACCAGTGTGCATTCTCTTATGTTGGGTGAGCTTTCGCCTCTCAGAGAAAGCCTTCCCACATTCATTACATTCATAAGGTCTCTCTCCAGTATGAATTCTCTGGTGCAAATTAAGAGTTGAACTGCACCTGAAGGCCTTCCCACATTGATGACATTCATAAGGTTTCTCTCCAGTGTGAATTGTCTGATGTCGAGTCAGAGCTGAGCTGCAATTGAAAGCTTTTCCACACTCATTACATTCATAATTATTTTCTCCAGTATGAATACTCTGATGCAGAATCAGCTGTTTGCTCAGGTAGAAGGCTTTCCCACATTCCTTACATTCATTTGGTTTCTCTCCAGTGTGAATTCTCTGGTGCTGGGTAAGTTCTGTTCTCTGTCGGAAGGCCTTCCCACATTCAGTGCATTCATGAGGCTTCTCTCCCGTGTGGATTGCCTGATGATGGGTGAGCAGGGTGCTGAGGCGGAAGACCTTCCCACACTCATGACATTCATAAGGTTTCTCTCCAGAATGGATTGTCTGATGTCAAGTGAGCAGTGTGCTTAGGTGGAAGGCCTTCCCACATTCCTTACACTCATAAGGTTTCTCTCCAGAATGAATTCTTTGATGTTGAGTAAGCTTAGACCTCTCACAGAAGGCCTTCCCACATTCACTACATTCAAAAGGTTTCTCACCTGTATGAACTGCCTGATGTCGGATAAGCTGTGTGCTCAGACAGAAGGCCTTCCAACATTCATTACATTGATATGGTTTCTCTCCAGTGTGAATTCTCTGATGTACAATTAGTTCTGCCTTCAAGAAGAAGGCCTTTCCACATTCATTGCATTTATAGGGTTTCTCTCACGTATGAATTGTTTGATGTTGAGTAAGATGTGCCCTCTGGAAGAAGGCCTTCCCACATTGACTACAGTCATAAGGTTTCTCCCCAGTACGAATTCTCTGGTGTCGAGAGAGAGTTGTGCTGCAGGTGAAAGCCTTCCTACATTCATTACATTCATAAGGCTTCTCTCCAGTGTGAATTCTCTGATGCTGAGTAAGCTTTGACCTCAGGCGGAAGGCCTTCCCACATTCATGACACTCATAGGGTTTCTCTCCAGTATGAATTCTCTGATGCAAAGTAAGAGTTGAACTGCACCTGAATGCCTTCCCACATTCATTACACTCATAAGGTTTCTCCCCAGTATGAATCACATGATGGGAAATAAGAGATGAGCTGTTGTTGAAGGCCTTCCCACACCGATTACATTCATAAAGTTTTTTCCCCACTATCAATTCTCTGGTGATAAATCAGGCATGTTTTCTGACTAGCCTTCCCATTCCCCCTGAGTTTTTCTGAAGTATGAAGACTCTTTATGTGTTTCTCACTTTTTTGCAAACACCTTTCCACAGAGACTCCTTCTTTGGGAAATAGGATGTGCCGTTGACTGAAGTTTCTGTCATACATATTAGATTCCCGGCCTCTCACTTTAAGAGGTGTTTTCCTTTGGGAAATTTTCACTTTCCTGTAATGTTCCTCCTCAACCCTCTGCTGCCTCATTAATGAGGCCTCAAGTTCCCAGGATTCTCTCAGGTTGGAGACACAAGAACTGTGCTTTGCTGTATCTCCTGGGATATTTGATCCACTAAAACACCGTGCTTTGGAGCTGACTCCTTGGTTTGGGGATCAGCTGTGCAATCTGAAAGAAAGAGAAAGTGTCAATAACCCTTGTACCCTGCGCTGTACTCTTAGGAATCTACCGTCCAACTGTAAGGGTACAAACACAACACCACCTTGTTTGTGGCGTCAGCTGCCATTTATAAAAAGCTTCTACCTTCATTTCACAACAGCCTTGGAGGTCAGTTATTACACTTTGCAGAGAAGGAAAGCGAAGCTGAGAGTGACTTAACGACCGACTGAAGGTCGTGCAATTAATAAGCAGCAGAGGAAGGATTGGAACCATCATCTCCTAACTTCCATTCTTGGGGTCTTTTTCCCACAGCCTGAATTTTGTTCTCCGGCCTTACCACTGTCTCTGCCATTTAAAGAATGACATCCAATACTGGTGAAAGAAGGGGGTGCCCTTGCTTTGGCCTCGTTTGTGCGGAGAAGGCTTCTAATAACTCTCCATTGCAAATCATGCTGATTCTTAGTCTTAGCAATAGACTTGATCTTAAGAGAAGGGCCTTTCCATGCCTCCAGTATAAAGGAGGGATGTATTTGGTCCGAGGCATTTTCTGAGTCTGTGGTCAATCTGTCCTGTGGTTCCTGTTGTTTAGATGATTGCCTACGCGTTTGACCTTGAGAGGCAGCAGGGTAAAATGAGATGCCCTTAGGGCTGGGGTGACCAGACACAAGCCCTGGCTCCATCATTTGGCTGAGTCACTTCAGATCTCAGGCAATTCTCCAAGACCGCAAGCTGCAGAACAATTGATCAATCCACAAGGACCCTAATAGGCATGTCCCAAACACGGCTGAGGCCAAGGTAAAAATGAACCATCCCTACCTTGAGGAGGCAGGGGTGAGGAGGAGGCACTTCCATGGATGGGATAAAGGCATGAAGATGGGACACTTTGTGGGAGGAAAGGGGAGAAAGTGAGTTTGGCTGGACCACAGGCCAAGGGGTGTGTCAAGAGGAGGAAAGAGGGACTGGAGCCCAATTATGACGAACAAGGGGCTGGGCCTCGAGGCAGGAAGGAGCCATGGAACAGGGGATGACCTTGCCCTGGTCAGACCTGGGCTTTAGGGAGATCCTGGCCTCCATGTGGATGCACCAAGACAGAAGAAAGCAGAAGCAGGGGGCACAATGAGCCTCGGGGTGCTCCAGGGTAGCCCAAAGAGGGTGGATGCAGAAACGTTAAGAAGGCAGGATCAGTGAGACCTGGGAGAGCTGACCATGACTCTGGCCTCCAGAGAAGGGTGGAGGGGTAGGAAGCCAGACGTCACTAGAAGGAGTTTCTTCACGAGGAACCAAGTCCTCACCTGACACCAAAGAAATCACAAGTCCAGGTGAAGCTGGGGTAAAACTTAAATTCCATAGTTGGGTTCAAAAATCAGTGTCACAGGGGGCAATTAGGTGGCACAGTGGATAGAGCACCGGCCTTCCCATTAAATCGTTGATAGCTGAAAATCACACAATGAAATGTTGCCTGAATTGTGGGAAAACGAGACAACAGGCCGCTGGTAGGAGAGGTGGAAAGCTGACCAGGGCCTCTGCGGCCTCTAAGCCAAACGGCCAGAACAAGACCACCTTTAGCACCTCCAACGGGGCCTGCCTGGAGAAGACCATGGGGAAATGCAGTGACTCTGCTCTGAGAATCACACCCAGCAAGAAGTCACTGAAAGAAAGCAGGGTCTTTCCTCTAAAAAGATACTCACAGAAGCTTGACCAGGAGCAGGAAAAGCCTGGGAAGAGGCCCAGAGACTGACAGCCAGACGAAGGCACCAGGCCAGTCAGTGGGGCACACGCTGCCCCCACCCAGTATCGGCCAGAGCCTCAGCCCTGCCCCAGCTTCCCACGTCCCCAGGGCCGGCCACTGGCCTTTTGGCTGACCCAGCCTCAGACGTGATGCTGGGGGCCATCCTTAGGTCTTGTGTCCCTGCCCCCTGGGACAAGAGCTCCTGCAGAGAAGACACAGTCTCCCTATTTGTGTCCCCAGCCTCTGACACAGGGCTGGTCACACTGTTGCTGGTGGTGCTGTTTCAGTTGCCCCATTTGGGGTTTTCTTGGCAGGGACACTTTGTCATTTCCTTCTCCATCTCGTTTGACAGATGAGGAATGGAGGCAAACAGGGTGAAGTGACCTGCCCAGAGTCGCTAGGGCGCTAGGAAACGTCCGAGGCCAGATTTGAACTCGGGTCTTCCTGACTGCAGGCCCAGCATCACTCGGGTAATGTCCTCTATAAGCACAGCCCCTCCAGGGCCAGGGACTGACCCTCACCAAGTCAGGGGACTGACCTGCTAAGGGGAAGGAAGAAGCCTCAGTCCTTCCTCACAAGCCTGGGGACCTTGGACAGCTCCCAAGCCAACACTTTGCAAAGCTCCCACCCACAGGGCCTCCTCATATCCCTGGCTTTCAGGCACTCACCTGTTCGACTGCTTCTGGGGCTCTGTTCGTAGCAGTGGGGGAGAATGACCCATCACAGAGGGCCTTCCTCTGACCTCTCCCTGCCAAGTAGAAACCTCTGCCCGGAGGACCTGCTCCGGGACTCTAGGGGACAACGTGGGGCCTGAGGGAGGAGAGTAGGAGAGATGCTCTCAGGCTGCCAATGTCCAGCCTCACAAAAGCCTCTCCCCCAGGATCGGGCAGCACTAGCGCCCCACCTGGTGGACACAAATGGACTGGGAATCTCCACATGCCAAATGACAACCACTCAACACCCACATAGCCCTCAGCATTTACTGTATGGAAGAGAGGAAGCCCACCCTCCCACGGGCTCGACCCGGGTCCCAGAGGCAGCCATCCTCACCCAGGCACACCAGGTTCCCATAGTTCTCCAGCATCACCTCCCTGTACAGGGCCTTCTGAGGAGGGCCCAGTTGCTCCCACTCCTCAGGGGTGAAGGTCACGGCCACGTCTTGGAATGTCACAGACTCCAGACCCAATGACCGTCTCTGAGGGGAGATTGGCAGAAATTTCAGGGGAAGGGGTCCTCGAAGTAATACAAGTTGAGTATGGAGTGGTTGCTCTGGGGCCCTCCATCGAGGGAGCCCCAGACTGTGGAACACATAAGGAACAGTGACAACAGTCTGGGAAGCAGGTGTAGAAGCTAAGGGAGAAGGGAACTGAGCAGAGGAAGTATTCATTACAAATACAACCTCACTGGATCCTCATGCCCATCAGGGACGGAGGTGCTGTGATGAGCCCCATTTGAAAACTGAGGAAACTATGATCCATGACAAGCCCAAAGGAGCAATGATGAAGCCAAAAGAACTGATATGGACTGACTTCAGACTGAAGCAGACTAGTTTTCATTTTCTTTCTTTATTTTTTTTATTTCAGTCTTCTCGTATAAAACGACTAATATGGAAATGTATACATAACTGCACATGTATAACCTATATCTGATTGCTTACCATCTCAGGGAGAGGGGAGGGGACAGAGGACGGAGGGAATTTAAATTAAAATGTTTAAAAAATTGAAAAAAAAATTGAGGAAACTGAGGCCAACAGTTAAGTGACTTGCCCAGAATCACACCACTGGGAAGCATCTGAAGTTGAATTTGAACTTGGTCTTCCTGACCCCAGGCCCAGGGCTCTATGCACAGTGGCACCCCTAGCTGCCTATATCAAGGATTCTAAATATTTGTAGACTGATTGTTTTTTCCACTTGATCAAGGGTGAGCTCAAGAGATATTTATATTCATTGACTTAATCCAAGACTTCTTCCCTCTCTTGGTCTGGGAAGAGTCCTTTCTAGACTGATCAGACCTCTCTTTAGAAACTGGCTAGATGGGGCAGCTGGGGGCACAGTGGATAGAGTACTGGCCCTGAAGTCAGGAGGACCTGAGTTCAAATCCAGCCTCAGACCAAACACTTGGCACTTACAGCTAGTGTGACCCTGGGCAAATCACTTAACCCCAATTGCCTAAAATATACATTTAAAAAAAAGAAACTGGCTAGGCCTTTGATGAGAATGAAGTAAAAATATTTCAGGAGACTGTTCCAGAATTCCTAGTTTAAGACTGTTTCCTCATTTAAATTGGGCTTTGGCCCAACTGGACTTTAGACTAAAGTGCCATTTTTACATTATTTGTCAGAGGGAAGGCAGGTGGTGGGAAATGGTGGCGCTTTATATATTTTATGTATATTTTTCTGAGGGATTCAAATAAACATGGGAAAAGTTATATGAACGGATACAAAGTGAAAAAGTCAAAACCAAAAGGACAACATGTACTCAATAACTAATAGATAAAAAGGATTAAAAGGAAACCAAACTCCCAACAAGTGGAAAATCCATAATGGTCCTACAGAACAGATAATGCAATATGGCTTCCATGTCACAGAGGTGGGGGACTACCAGGACAGAATGTTGTATACACTGCTGGTACGGTCCCTAGATCGGCTATGTTTGTTTACCTGCTTTTCTTTGTTACCAAGAAAGGTTCAAACTGGAAGTGGGAGAATGGGAAGGGTATTCCCAGAGGTGACTGAGATGTGAAAATGAAAGGTGTTAGTAAAATGGATTTTTTTTAAGGGGGAAAGTGGTCTTAGGCAAAAAGATGTAAGATTAGTGGCACTATCACTTCATAAAACAGAAATGTCCTGCAGTGTTGGGGGTCAATCACACTCACTTGTAGCCTCTGTGGGATGGTCATGCCTCAGGCTACTACAAAACTGTTCTCTATTCATTCTCTCATCCTGGGTTCCAGGATAATCCAAGGGCATATTTTGGTATTTCCTCATTACTTGCTAAACTACAATACTGCTTATTAAATAATAAATTAGCTCAGAGCTTCCCCCCACCAGTTTATTAAATATCTAATAAACTGGAGAAGCCTCCTTTCCCATAAAGAGTTGAAGTTCAGAACTCTTGACAAATCAAACCTTCTAATCTCTCAAGTTTACATAAATATCAAAGGTACTGGTCATACCATTTATTAACAATATAACCAGTAATCTCACAAAGCCATGTCATTATTTACAAAGCTATAGCTTCAAAAACGATCAATTAGATTCACCCCTAAACCTTCACAGTGACTACAGTGGTCATCCTCACTTCTGGAAACAAAGTCCCATCATGCAGTTCACTCTGGATACCAATTCAAGTCTAACCTCAATAATCCTCTTCCTAAGTTAAAGGTTAATTACAGAACAGGAGCCAGTATCTGAGGTTTACAAAGCCCTTACAGATGTTATCTTATTTTATTCTTGCCACAATCCAGGGGGTGAGGGGTGGGGTAGAGAGGTAGGAGATTTAATATCCATTCTCTTAGGAATGAAGCTTCTCCTCATTTTTTTCCTGAGTCTTCTCCCATTTTATCTCTTCAGCCAGGACAGGCATGTCTCTTCAGAAGACCTGTTCCATACAGACCCTCCCGTCAGGGGCTGTTAGGCTGGGAGCCCCTCAGCAATCTGCTGCTATACTCGAAGATACAGCCTAAGGGTCTCTGATCACTGTGGGACAGTTTGATGAGGCCAGTGTTACAGGAGCAACACCCCCCCAGGGCAACTCCCCCAAACTTACACCAGACCCCCTGAAGGTAGCTACAACTTCTGTCCAGGGGCATCCCAGAAAGACCGCGGTTCCCAGCACTGCTGCTCGCAAGCCCCAACCAGTGGGATCCCCATTGACAATCAGCCATTACCAGAGGTAATGAGCTCTTTAGAAAAGATATTTATTGAGAAAGTATAGCAAGAACTTCAGGTACATAAAGCAGCTCCCCAAACCTGGGCTACATGTGGCTCTGTGTGGGAGCCATGCTCTGCCTCTGTAGGACCCTCAGGCTCAGAGGTGGGGGAGGGTCACCCTCCCTGAAGCTGCCTTTCGTTGATGGCTTTAGCTTGTCCTTTGTGTCTCTCAGCTCCCAACACAGATGCTGTCATCAGCCCCTGCTGCTCAGGGGGTGGTGGAGATAGAGAAACAGACACACAGGGCAGGTCTGGAAACTCTGGATCTTGGGTCCTTTTGAGGTTCACAAGGTCATAACCTGGACAACTGGGGTAGGAAGAAGAAGACAGAGAAAGAAGGGAAGAGAGAGAAACAAAGAGAGATAGGGAGACAGAGAGAAAGAGAGGGAGAGACAGAGACAGAGGTAGACAGAGACAAAGAGAAAAAGAGAGACAGCTACAAAGAGACAGAGAGAGACAGAGACAGAGACAGAAGAGACAGAGAGAGACAGAGGTAGATAGAGACAAAGAGAAAAAGAGAGACAGCTACAAAAAGACAGAGAGAGAAACAGAGAGACAGAGATAAAGAGACAGAGAGACCAAGAGAGACAGAGACCAACAGAGAGAAGCAAAGAGAGACAGACAGAAACATAGGAGACAAATAGAGGCAAAGAGACAGAAAGACAGAGAAAGAGACAGAAATGGAGACAGAGAGGCAGCAAGCAAAACAGAGAAAGACAACAACAAAGCTAGAAGCAGAGAGTCAGAGACAGAGACAGAGAGACCCTCTCCTCTCTCCAAGAGCAAGCCCCTCTCCCAGCCCTTTGGCTCTCCACTAAGTTTCCAATTAGCCTAGACCCAGAGTCCTTTGGGCCTGACTCTTTAGGCTACTGGGAATTTTCTCCAATTGACAGAGGACTTGGTCATTCCTGGTCTGGCCTTTGGATTACCTCATTCAATAGAGGTATAAGGCCTTTGGTCAGCAAGTGAAGCATAACTTCACCCTTACACTAACTTGGAGACCCACTTCAACAAGGGAACCAGGGGCCATTGAGGAAGACACTGGAATGGAAGGCTCAGGGCTAATCCCCACCTCTGCCAGGACTTCGGTGACCTTGGGCCAGCAGTGTTCCCAAATGCGAAATGAGGGAGCTGGATGGCCAGCTCTCATACCAGGAATCTCAAGTTCCTGGCCTGCCACAATCAAAAGAGAAAAAACAGAGGCAGGGAAAAGGACACTCACCCTCAGCTGGTGGGTCTTAGCCTTGAGGACCAGGAGGGCCATAGAGTCTGGCTGAGCTCACACCTGTTGGGGGCGAACAGAAGCTTCCAAAGGCAGAGCTGGGGAGGAAAAGGGAACACACCATGAGATGGCCTGGCCCTGTCTTAGAGTCCCCAGAAAACTACTGTGTCCTTAAGTGCCCCATGGAGGTCACTTCTCCTTTACTGGCTGCCTACTCTATACAAGGCATACACTCACCCACTGGGCTCAGTACTGGGTGAGCAAAGACAAAACCATTCCCTGCTTCTCAGGAAGCTTGTGATCTAGGGCAAGGAGTTTGACACATTAACAGGGAGAAACAAGATAGTGGAAGGCAGGGAGAACACCAGGAACTCAGAGGACCAGACAGCCAAAAAGGAATCTAAGAATTCTCAGAGCCAGAGAACAGCGGTGGGCATCTCAGAGGCAGTGGCAGCAGGGCATGAACACCCAATAGGCTGGAACATGGAGCTTAGGAAGGTTAGTCACCAGGAGAAAGAGCTGAAAAGCCTGGGCTGGAGCCAGAGGTGATGGGAACCTCTTGTCTAACCCATGGGCAACAAGGTACTATGGAAGGTTTTAAAGGCCTATCAATTTCATCTCTGCAGAATCTCTGGTCCATTTCACCTCTGCAGCATCTCTGGCCAATTTTACCTCCCTGTCTCTCTGGCTGATTTCTTCTACAGCATCTGCCAAATATGCCCCTTTCTCTCTTCTGCCTCCCCACGCTAGTGCAGAACCTTAACCCCTTAAGCCCAGGCTATTGCAATAGCTACTGGGGAGTCTGCCTGCCTCAAGTCTCTTCCCCATTCCAGTCCATCCTTCATTCAGACACCAAAGTGATTTTCCTAAAATGAGATCAAGCACGATACCTCCTACTCAATAACCTTCAGTGGCTCCCTACTGTCTCCAGAAGCAAATACAAAATGCTCAGTTTAGCATTCAAAGTCCTTCATAACCCAGCCCCCTCTTCCCTTTCCAGTTTTCTTACACCTTATTCCCCCCACATATTCTTCAATCCAGCGGCACTGGCTTCCTGCCTGGTATTATTTTGACTAGTTATGATAGCTGACATTTATATAGCACCTCCTATGTACCTGGCACTGTGCTAAGTGCTTTACAAGTATTTTCTCATTGGATCTTCAACACGGCCCTTCAAGGTAGGTGCTCTTTATCTCCATTTCACAGATGAGGGAACTGAGGCATAGAGGTCAAGTGATTACCTAGGATCACATAGCTATTAAGTGTCTGAGATTGGATTTGAACTCAGGTCTTCCTGACCCTGTTCTCTATCCACTGAGCCACCTACAAGAGCCTCCATCTCCCATCTCCACAGCATTTCCTCTGGCTGACCCCTTACCGCCTTCCCTGCTTCCTTAAGTTCCAAACCAAACCCCACCCCCTGGGGCAGGAAGCCTTCCCCGGTCATTCTTCCCTCCCCGTCCTATTTAGAGCTGGCCTTGTATAGACTTGTTTGCATTAAACGGTGAACTTCAGGAGGACAGGGACTGTCTCTCACCTCTTTTTGTGTCCCCAGCCCTTCTTGGCACAGCGCCTGGCATACAGCAGGCATTTAATAAATGTTTATGGAAATAAACCGAATTGCCCATTAGGAAGATCTGGAAAGGGAGAGGAGGAGGAGACAGAGGAGGGGGGCGGAGCAGAAACAGGAGCAGTTTGGGACCAGAGGAGGAGGAGGAGGGGTGAGAAAGAGGGAGGGATCAGAGGCTGAGGTCGGACCCACCTCTGACCCCTTCCGCACACACCTCCGAAGCAGAACAAGGTCACAGAGCAAGAAAAGGAAGTGACGTCGTAGAGCGCATGCAAAGAACCCCGACTTCCACAGGCCTCGCCCTCTTCGTTTCCATATCAACCCGCCCAAAATCCTAGAGGAAAAAGGGGCCAGGATGAGGCAAGGCTTTCTGGGAAACGTAGTTCAGTTGCCTCCCCCTCTTCCCCTTTCCCCTCCTCCCCTTTTCCCTGCCCGCTCACACCCACCCAACCAGACTGTCACAGGCGGGGCGGGGAGGGGGGGCGGGGTACAAGTATCCTTTGGGGCTCATTGGGTGCGAATTCTGCAGGGGGGTGGGGAGCGGAGGGGTAGCTGGACCTGGGGTCAAATAAGATCTATTACTTACAAGATGGGTGACCCTGTTTGCCTTGGTTTCCTGAACTGTAAAATGGGTATAATAACAGCCCCTCCCTTCCGCAGTTGTGGGGATCAAATGAGGTCCTATTTGTTTAAAGGAAAAAAAAGTGCCTGGCACATAGGCCCTCTATAAATGCTTTGTCTTCCTCCTTGGCCTTGACCTTGCTGCCCCTTGAGCTGGTCAGAGGCCCCACATGATCCCCAAGGATCACGGGGTCATCACTTCTAAGTGACAGCCTGGGAGCTCCCACTGGTACAGCTGCCTTTAATGGTCAGCCAACAGATACTATAGTAGAATGATTAGGGGGCAACTAGGTGGCGCAGTGGATAGAGCACTGACCCTGGAGCCAGGAGGACCTGAGGTCAAATGTGGACTCAGACACATAACATTCATTAGCTGTATGGCTCTGGGCAAGTCACTTAACCCCAAATGCCTCATAAGAAAAAAACAAAAACAAAAGCCTATAGTAGAATGATTAGCAGCTACAAAACATTCTCCTCCAAATCTGGGGAACGCTGCCCCAGATCCACCCAGCACAAATTTAGGGTCACCTGCACCATGGAAAGAGTGAGCACCATGGTAGTAAGGGACACTTGTAGAGAGTTGCATGTGGACACAAGAGGGGAGAGAAGGGGAGGAAGAAAGAGGAGAGGGACACGAGAGGAAGAGGAGGGGACAGAAAGAGGGAGGGGGCACAACAGGGGGAGGAAGAGGGGCAGGGGAGGAGAGGAGGGGGGCCTCAGGGCCTACCTTTGATCATTAGGTCCTCACAGGGCTTCTCCTTGGACACAGCATCTCTGCTGGCAGGGGCTGCCCTGCCTGGGCCTGCTCTTGAACTGGCTAGCTCCAGGGAGAGTGTATATCTGCTCCCTGCTGGGCATTCTTAGACTACCCAGGCTACTTTTTTTCAGCCAATGGCCAACTCCTCTCCCTATCGTTTGTACTTCATGTAGGGATGAGAAGGCATTAAGTACACTCATAACTCAGTACTTCTGCTGTCTGCTCCTTCCTTTCCGTGATTCCATCAACCAGCTAGGTGGGGCCAATTCCCCCTCAATGTGTACTTAGGGTTAGGCTTTGCTAGAATCTCTTTGTTAGGGCAGAGCTCACCCTTCTCCTACCCTGTCATCCGTGTTCTCCCATCCTACCTCCCAAATGTGTGGGGCCTTCCTCCTGCAGTCCTGCAGATAGCTACCCCCAAAGGTAAACGACTAAGGGCTGGGAACACACTGGTCATCAACAACTTGATGAAATTATTCCCTTGATCCCAAAGAATGAGAAAAAGGCAAATTGTAGCTACTCCCACCCATCAGACTGGTAAAGATGCGGGAAATGTGGGAAAACAGCCAGCGAGTGGGAACTGGGCCCAGAAAGTTCCTGAGTGGCAGTCCCAGCTGCTGTGCTGAGGCTCAGCAATACCACTCCAAGCTTAAGCCTGGAACAACCAAGAGAGAGGAAAAGGACGCAGGTGTACAAACACTCAATGATGGCCAGCCGCAGGCTGGAAGCAAAGGGTGCCCAGAGAGGACCTGAGAGGGCAGAGAAGGGGGCAGCTGCAAGGACACACCTTTGATTCAGGCTGGCACCAGCCAGTGGGAGAGGAGAGGGAGGGGAGTGAGAAAAGGAAACACAAAGCATTAATCGCATGGATAGCGAGAAAGGAAGGGCGCTACTGGCTGATGGGCAGCCATGTCCCCCAGAAACTGGCTCAGTGTTTTACTTTAAAAAAAAAATGCATCTATTAATTTGAGGGTGGGGCAGCTAGGTGGTGCTACAATGGATAGAGCACCCCCCAGCTGTGTGACCCTGGGCAAGTCATTTTGCCTCAGTTTCCTCCTCTGTAAAATGAGCTGGAGAAGGAAATGGCCAACCACTCCAGTATCTGTGCCAAGAAAACCTGAAATGGTGCCTTGAAGTCTCATTCACAACTGAAAATAACAACAAAGCTATTAATTTTACACTTAATGATAATTGGTCCCACTGTCCTCACCACCCCCACCCCCAGAACCAAAAGGAAAAACTCACCCTGAAATGAAAAAGAAAATTCTCATCACAAACAAAACCCACTCCCGCACGGGCCATGCCCCAAATATCTGGCTCTCGTCTCTGTTCGCGTCCCTGCCTGCCCTCTTCCCCTCTGTCTGAACTTTCAGTCCATCTCCCCAAAGGCAGGAGATGAGTGGCTAGTCCGTGTGAGGAGTGACCAGTCCATGTGACGAGTGGCCAACCACGTTCAGTCCTCCGGATTCTGAGAGCGCCATTGCTGCACGTTTTGGTGACCCCCAAAAAGAGCCGCTGCTTTTGTACCGCTCTCCCTTAGCGGAACAGTGGCGGCAGGGTCAATGGACCGCAAAGAAGGGACTTTTGCAGAGGTGGGGAGACCGCTAACCCATCAGAGAGTGTTCCCCCAGGAAGCGCAATGAGGCAGGACTTTCCCTAAGGAGAGTACTTCGGGGACCTGGGGTGGGGGGAGATCAGCCGCACCGGGGGTACTGCGGGGCCCCAGAGGACTTTTATGGAGGTGGGCGGGGCCAAGATCAAGGGGAGCCTAGGGCATGTGCACACGATGACTAGGATATTAACCACATTTCCCAGAAAGCCTTGCCCTGCGCCAGCGGCTGTGGGTAGTCATGGAAACAGGGGACAGGTGGGCGGGAGCGCTTATTTCTTGCGTCACTTGTGCTGCTGCCCCACCTGTCCTGAGTCTGGAGCCCTGACTTTGAGGAGAGAAGGCGGCATAGCAAGGTCAGGGTGGGCATTATTCCCGGAGTCCTAAAGGGACACTTGGAGGAAGAGGAGGGACGTCACGCTGAGGTCACCCTGGGGTGAGGTGCAGGAGGGGTCTGTCCTCGGGGGTCACTTAAGGGTCAGATGAAGATCAATTCCAGAATCACCATGAGGTCACTGGGGAGTCACCTGGGGCAGTTCAGTCCCAGAGTCACCATGGGGTCACTATGTGGGGGAAGTCATTACCACGGTCACCATGTTCATTCGGGTCAGAGAGTCAGTCTTAGCTTCAGCAGTCACTAAAGGGTCAATCACAGGGGTCACTTTGGGGAGTCATATGGGGTCAATCCCCAGGTCATCACAGAGGTCAGGTGGGGGGGTCAGTCTCAGGGTCATTCAGGGGTCAGGTGGTGGTCCATCACTGGGTCACTTAAGGGTCAAGTAGAGGGTCAGTTCTAGGATCACCACAGGGGTCAGGTGGGTTAGGGTTAGGGAGGGTCAGTCCCAGTGACCCAGGGGTCACCATGGGCTCTGCCTCCAGACCTACATCTGTTGTCCATGGCTTAGAGCTGAACAGGCCTGGGGATCACTCACTGAGACCGCCCAGGGAGGGGAAGGAATGTGCCCTTGGGCCCAGAGGTCAGGGAAGGTGAGGCTCCTCCTCTTGAAGCCTGGGGTAGGGCTCATGGCCCTCAGGTCTCCCAGAGGAGTGACCCTTCCATGGGTGACAAAATGGGTCCAAGGGCCCGCCCCCCCAGGTTAGTGAGCTGAGCAATGAAGCCCTGAAAATGGTGCTGGGTCCTCACTACCACCCAGGAGAGAGATGCTACTGTTGTACCCTTTTTACAGATGAGGAAACTGAGGCTGACAGGGGCAAAGCAGCTGACTAGCAGCAGAAAGCCTGAGATTGAGTCCCAGCTATGATCCTAACTGATCTTGTGACCAGGAGCAGATTCAGCTGCAAGAGAGGCCTGGGCCTGGAGACAGGAAGACCTGAGTTCAAATGTGACCTCAGACCTTTATTAGCTGGGTCACCCTGGGAATGTCACTTCACCACTGCTTGCCTCAGTTTTCTCATCTGTAAAATGGGGACCCTAACAGCACTTGCTTCCTCCCAGAGTTGTGGTGAGGATCCAATGAGGTGATCATTATAAAGTGCTTAGCCCAGTGCCTGACACACAGGAGGCTGTCACTATTCTTATCCGTTCCATTTTCTCTACTTCCTCACTGGTAACATAAGAAATGGGAAGCTTGGTGGCACATTTAAGGTTAGCAGATAACAGTGGACAGAGCGCTGGGTCTGAAGCCAAGAGACCTGAATTCAAATCTGGCCTCAGAATTGTATTAGCTGTGTGACCCTGGGCAAGTCACTTCACCCTGTTTACCTCAGTTTCTTCATCTGTAAAATGGGCTGAAGAAGGAGCCAGTAAACCCCTCCAGTATCTCTGCCAAGGAAGCCCCCAGTGAGATTGCAGTCAGACACAGCTGGAAAACAACTTAACAACAACATGGGGAATAAGAGAAATTCTCGAGGGGAGCCCACAAAGAAAGGGGCCAGTAGCCTTCTGATACCCCCCATGGTGCGCTCCCCTCAATATACACCATCCCTGATATCCATCTGAGTCAGCTATACTCAGCATCAAGAAATAGGTGTTGGTACAAAGGGTCCATCCCACCGGGGCACACACAGTTCACAGCTCCTGCCTGCGGCCTCCAGGGTTCACAAGGTCAATCTCTGGTAGGGGCAGAGGGGGAGGCTGTCAAGGCTGGGCCAGACACTCAGGTAAGACCCACAGGGCATAGCCGAGTCTCTGGTGCTCCCCAGAATTACCCAGGGAGCTCATCCTTAGCAAAATGCCTTTGATTGAATTCTTGGTGGATTCAGTATCGTGTGCCTTGTTCACACCTAGGTCATCTCTGTGAGGAGTGCTAGGGGTGTGGGTCCCTCATGTCCTTATCTTGAATGTAGACTGAAGTATATTATTTCTTTCTCTTTTCTTCTTTCCTTCCTTCCTTTCTTCTTTTCTTTCAATCTTCTTGCACAAAATGACTGAGACAGAAATGCTTTACATGATTGCACACGCATAACCTGTATCAGATTACTTACCATCTCATCCTCACGTCTGAATGTGAGGGACCTGCTCTGAGGGATTGTCCAGGGTAACCCCTCCCCCATTTTACAGAAGAGGCATAGGAACTGCCCTAAGGTCACAAAGGCACAGAGCTAGGGCTGGTCTTTGGCATCTCAGGAGTCACTGGCCTTCAAGGACATGGCCACAACCACCCCAGAGGAGTGGGGGCATCTGGGCCCACCTCAGAAGCAGCTTTACCTTGAGGTAATGCTGGAGAACTACAGCAACCCTGTAGTTGAGGCTCCCAGGCTGCCCTGGAACAAAGAATCAGGCCAGGGAGGTGTCTGTGTCCTTCCTCAGTGTGCACTGTGGGAGCTCTTGGGTGCAGATGGGCTATTCACTGTTTAGAAGGCAGAGACCAGGGATTTGGGAGGAGTGGCCCCCACTCATCCACCTGTTTCCAGGTGGAAGGGCTTTGCTTTGTAAAACTGGATTGTTTGGCCTTTGAGATTATACCTGCCCCTTATCCCGTTTGGAGTTTTCTTAGCAAGGATACTTAAGTGGTGTGCCATTTCCTTCTCCAGCTCATTTTACAGATGAAGAACTGAGACAAAATTAGGTGACTTGCCCAGGGTCACCCAGCTAGTAAGTGTCTGAGGCCAGATTTGAAATCAGGAAGAGGAGTCTTCCTGACTCTGGGCCGGTGCTCTGTGCGCTGTGGTGCCCCTACCTGCCCCAGTTAGGGGACAGTTGCCACTAAATGTGGAAAATAATATGAATAGGACTATCTATTAAGTTTCTCTTTTCAATTATTTTCTGTGGAGTCCCAAAATAACCCTAACTCATTTGTTTTATTTTATTTTCAAATTATATTTTTCTCCTAATTACATGCAAAAACAATTTTGAACATTTATTTTTTTTACATTCTAAGTTCCAATTCAATCCCTCCGTCCCTCCCCTCTCCCATCCCTGAGATGGTAAGTAATCTGATACAGGTTACACATGTGTAGTCATGTAAAGCATTTCCATCTGAGTCATTTTGTGCAAGAAGATGGAAAGAAGAAAAGAGAAAGAAATGACATACTTCAGTCCACATCCAGATAACATCAGTTCTTCATCCTGAGTCCTTTGCTGAGAGGAGCTAAGTCATTTGCATCTGATCATTGCTACAATGTTGCTGTTACTGTGTGCAAGGGTACAATGTTGTCCTGGTTCTGCTCACTTCACTTTGTATCAGTTTGTGTAAGTCTTTCCAGGTTGGTTGTTTTTTTAATCATCCTGCTTGTCATTTGTTACAGAACAGTAATATTCCATTACAATCACATACCACAACTTGTTCAACCATTCCCCAGTTGATGGGCATCCCCTTGGTTTCCAATTCTTGGCTACCACAAAGAGAGAGCTGCTATAAATAATTTTGTAAAAATAGTTTCTCTCTCTCTCTCTCTCTCTCTCTCTCTCTCTCTCTCTCTCTCTCTCTCTCTCTCTCTCTCTCTCACACACACACATACACACACACACACACACACACACACACACACACACACACACACACACACACACACCCCTCTTTGGGATATACCTCTAGCAGTGGTATTGCTGAATCAAAGGGTATGCAAAGTCTTAAAACCCTTTAGGCATAGTTCCAAATTACTCTCCAGAATGGTTGGATCAGTTCACAATTCCACCAACACTGAGTATCCCATAACTCCACCATTAGTGCCCCAGTTTTTCCACATCCCCTCCAACATTTATCATTGTCCTGTTTTATCATGTTAGCCAATCTGATAGGTATGAGGTGGTTCCTCAGAATTGTTTTAATTTGCATTTCTCTAATCAATAGTGATTTATAGCATTTTTCCATATGACTATAGATAACTTTAATTCCTTCATCTGAAAACTGTCTGTTCATATCCTTTGACTATTTATCAATTAATCCTAACTCATTTGAAGGGGGGAAAAAAGGCAGGGAAAAGCCAAGTAAATACAAAATATCTCCCAAGCATGGAGTGTCAATTCTGCTCCTGATAAGTTGTGTAGGCAACCCTTAGGCAAATCTTCCCCTAGTGTAGGGATCCATGGGAAAGCTTTCTATACACCAGAGATGATGCAGATGTAAGGTGGCAGTATCTAACTTGCATTTCATTTCATGGAAGAACCAGGAAGCAGGACTAATTATACACAGTGGTGAGTACAGGGGAAATTTGCCTTCACTGTGTCTTTCAGATTGGGAGACAAGGCCTGGGACCAAGGAGTCACCTCCAAGCAGAGCATTCTTTAGAACATCCATCCCTAGGGGGACTCATGATGGATTGTCCCTGCATATCCAACCTGAGTGACTCTGAGGGATGTAATGCCAAGTCACAGAAGATGTAGAGCAATGGGGAAGCTCACCCAGAGGCCCTGAAGGCAACACATGGGACAGAAGTGGCAATCCAGGGCCAACTGTTCCCATCACAGAAAGCATCTCTAGGGGGCAGCTAGGTGGTACAGTGGATAGAGCACCGGCCCCAAATTCAGGAGGACCTGAGTTCAAATCCAGCCTCAGACATATAATGCTTACAAGCTGTGTGACCCTGGGCAAGTCACTTACCCCCAATGCCTAGCCTCCCCCAATAAAAAAGTATCTCAGAAGCTCAGATTCAAATAAATGTAATACAGTCGATTCCAAGAAGATACTTTTGTTACTTACAAGCATGATGAATGTGATAAAGGCTTCAGTCACAGTTCAATCATTTCTGTCCACCAGACAATTACTACTGGAAAAAACAACATAAATATGTGGAATGTGGAAAGGCTGCCAACTGCAGTTCATCCCTTACCTGCCACCACAGGATTCACACTGGAAAGAAATCTTACCCATGTAGTGACTGTGGGAAGGGCTTTCACCTGTGGGCAGGACTTATTGAATATCCGAGTGTCCATCCTGGACAGAAACCATATAAAGCTCATGAATGTGGGAAGGCCGTCAATTGGATCTCATCCCTTACTTGTTGTCACAGGATTTGTACTGGCAAGAAACCTTATGAATGTAATTAATGTGGGAAAACCTTCTGCCTGAGGGCTGAACTTACTAGACATCAGATAATTCATAGTGAATAAAAACATTTTGAATGTAATGAATATGGGAGGGGATTCACCTACAGCTCATCCCTGAGTTCCCATTAGAGGATTCATACAGGAGAGAGACCACATAAATGTAGTGAATGGCCTTTGGCCAGAAAACAGTACTAATTTATCATCAGAGAAGTCATACTGGAGAAAAACCTTATAAATGTAATGAATGTAGGAATGCTTTCTTCCATAGGTCAGAACTTATTTCCCATCACAGGATTCACACTGGGGGGAAACCTTATAAATGTAATGAATGTGGGATAGCTTTCAACAGAACCTCATTCCTTACTTCCCATTTTAGGAGTCATTCAGCAGAAAAAAACATATGATTGTGGGATAGCCTGAGCGGATGGATGGGTAAGTGGGCAAAACAAAACAAAAACCATTAATCATTGACCACACGCTAAATGCTGTACTGGGGATACAAAAGGAAAGACAGCCCCTAACCCAAGGATCTTATAATGAGGTGAGATAGAAGGGTAGTGCCCAAAGAAAGGCCCTTTGGTCCTCAATGTCACGGGCATGGTGTGTGGAGCCACGTGGGAATTGTCTGGGCTACTGAGAAGATGGCAGGGAGGAAAGAGTGAAATAAAGCATGGCTGGGGCCTTCCTGAAAGAATGGACTAGGACAGGTAGCCCCCAATCAGAATGCCAGGGCTGCAGAGCTGAAAGGATTAACTCCTGGGTACCTTTTTGGGTCTCTGGTATTGGCTGAGATGGCTGCTGGAGAGTAGAGTGGCCTTCTGCCATTAGGGCAACTTTATAGGAACCTATTCATATTGGAGAGAAACGTTACGAAGTTAAGGCCAGAGGAATGAATTTCCTCTGACTGGTATACATTTCCACATGTATGACCTATTGGCTTCTCCTGGGAGGCAGCAGAGTGTGGTGATTTTGAAGCCAGAGCACGTAGGCTCAGCCAACCTCAATGGGCCTGAGTTTCTACATCTGTAAAATGAGGGGCTTGGACCAGGTGGTCTCTGATGTCCCTTCCAGCTCTAGAACAATGATCCTATCCTGACAGAGACATGGTGTGGAATGACGTGTAGATTTTTTTAAAGTTCTATTTTTTTACAATCTTTTTTTTTTAGGATTTCGAGTTCCAAATTCTCTCCCTTCCTTTAGCCTCTCCCTCACCCATTAAGAAGGCAAGCAATATGATATCAATTACATACATGAAGACATGCAAAACATAATTCCACATTAGCCATGTGAGGCATACCTTTTCTACATGGTAAGTGTGTTGGTTTATTTTGCTTAATTAATACAAGGAAGAGATCCCTCAAGGACTCATGGGAAGGTGAAATTTTTTAAAGCCTCAATAAAACGTGATTGAAATAAAACAATTCAGGCAGAATTCATCTATCACTGAAAACTGAAGGATTCAAACCAAAGGAGAATCAAAGGAGATATTTGTAAAGTACTTGGAATAGTGCCTGGCACATAGTAGGCATCATAAAAATGTTTATCCCCTTTTCAGTGTCTTAAAAACCTAAGAAGAAAATATCCCAGAGAAGAAAGTGATCAGCAGTGCGAAAGGCTGTAGAGAGGTCAGGGAGAATAAGGACTGAGAAAAGGCCCTTGGATTGGGCAACTAAGAGATCACTGTTGACTTTGGAGACAGCAGTTTTGGTGGAATGAGGTCAGAAGACAGATTGTGAGGGGTTAAAAGGAGAGTGAAAGGATAAATGTTGGGGAAGATGTGGAAAAATTGGAACACTGATGCATTGTTGGTGGAGTTGTGAACTGATCCAACCATTCTGGAGAGCAATTTGAAACTATGCCCAAAGAGCTATAAAACTGTGCATACCCCTTGACCCAGCAATACCACCACCAGGTCTGTATCCCAAAGAGATTTAAAAAAAAAAAGGAAAAGGACCTATATATACAAAAATATTTATGGCAGCTCTTTCTGTGGTGGCAAAGAATTGGAAATTGAGTGGATGCCCATCAATTGGGGAATGGTTGAACAAGGTGTGGTATACGAATGTAATGGAATACTATTGTGCAAATAAGAAATGATGAACAGGCAGATTTCAGAAAAACCTGGAAAGACTTGTACAAACTGATGCAAAGTGAAATGAACAGAACCAGGAAAACACTGTACACAGTATCAGCAACATCGTGTGATGATCAACTATGAATGACTCAGCTCTTCTCAGCAATACAAGGATCTAAGACAACTCCAAGACTCTGGATGGAAAATGCTATCCACATCCAGAGAAAGAACTATGGAGTCTGAACACAGCGAAGCAGACTATTTTCTCTCTTTTTTGGGGGGGTATTCTTTTTTCTCATTTTCCCCTTTGGTTCTAATTCTTCTTTACAACATAACTAATGTGAAAATATGTTTAATATCAGATTACACGCCATCTTGGGGAGAGGGGAGGGGAAGGAGGGGGAGAAAATTTAGAACTCATGGAAATGAATGCTGAAAACTAAAAACAAATAAGTAAAAATTTTAAAAAGAAGACAGGGAGAGGAGAAGTGAAGGCACATTGTAAAAAGCCTTTCCAAGGAGTTTAGCCATGAAGGGCAGAAGAGATATAGGATAATAGCAGAGATGAAAGAGACAAGTGAGGGTTTTTTCAGGATGGGGGTGACATGAGCATGTTTGTAGGCAGTGGGGGAGGAGCCAGTAGACAGAGAGAGATTGAAAATAAGGGAGAGTGGGGATGACAGAGGGGCCGATCTATTAGGGGAATTTATATAGAACTGGATGCAATTTTTTTTAATTTTTAAAATTTTTTAAAATTTATTTTGATTTATCAATAATCACTTTCATATGCTTTTGAGTTTAAAATTTTTCTCACCCTCCCCAAGACAGTGCACAATCTAATATAGGCTATACCTTTATATTCCTATTAAACATATTTTCACATTAGTGATGTTGCAAGTAAAAATTAAAACCAATAGGAGGAATCATCAGAAAGAGGAAACAAAACTCAACAAAAGAGAAAGAAAAATAGCAATTCAACTTCCATAGTTCTTTCTTTGGATGTGGATAGCATTTTTGATCATAAGCCTCTGGAGATATCTTAGATCCTTATATTGTTGGGAAGGGTTAAGTTTATCAATATAAGTCATTGCACAACATAGCTGTTATTGTGTATAATGTTCTCTTGGTTCTGCTCACTTCACTCAGCATCAGACCATACAAGTTTTTCCAGATTTTTCTGAAATCAGCCTGTTCATCATTTCTTATAAATAGTATTCCATTACATTCATATACCACAACTTGCTCAGCCATTCCCCAACTGATGGGCATTCTCTCAATTTCCAATTCTTTGCCACCACAAAAAGAGCTGCTATGAATATTTTTGTACATATGGGTCCTTTTCCCATTTGTATGATCTCTTTGGGATACAGCCTTAGAAGTGCTATTGCTGGGTTAAAGGATATGCACATTTTTATAGCCCTTTGGGTATAGTTCCAAATTGCTCTCCAAAATGGTCAGATCATTTCACAACTCCACCAACAATGCATTAGTGTTCCAATTTCCCCACATCTTTTCCAACATTTATCATTTTCCTGTTTTGTCATGTTGACAATCTGTAGCAAGTAGAGGGGTTAGTCTTGGTCAGGAGTGAGATCACTACATAATGTTATATGGGATGAAGGGGGAAGAGAGGGGCAGAAAGTGCCTGAGTGAAGGGAGATGATGATGAGGGGAGAAGAGAGAGCTCTTGAGGAACAGCCTCAATTTTTTTTGTAAAATATGAAGCAGGGGCTCAGCTGACAGGGTGAGGGAAGGGAGCCATGGGAGGTTTAAGGAGAGATGAGGTTCTTAAGAGCCACTGAGGAGGGTGAGAGCGTGAGCTGGTGAGGGAGGTGCAGGAGGGCCGTTGAGCAGCACCGAGGGCCCAGGGACATACATTTGTAGTGCAGCCAGCCCAAATGGCTGCATGATTTTCTCCACCTTCGCTCAGCAGCATGTGTAGGAGTGTTCCAAAGCTGAGGCTCAGCTGGGCATAATCGGGGACATAATGGGGTGAGGGATTCAAGATAGGAGGATGGGGTAGAATTGCAGAGAGCAGCAAGGACAGGGTAGATGGCCTGGGAGAGAACTGAGGGGTCCAAGGGTGGAGATGAATCGATAATTAATTTGTGAAAGTATGAAATGGGGGCAGGTATGCCCAGTTCTTTGGGTACTTGCCAGGAAAGCCATGACTGGCAACAAGAAACAGGACAGCAATCACACATACCTTTAATAAGGCCCAGAGAAAAGTGGTGAAAAGTGGGGAGGGAGACAGAGGCTGGACAGGGAGATGGTGAAGGCAGGCAGGTATAATGGGAAGGGGGAGAAGCAGAGAGCATCACTCCCATCCATCACTGTGTATCAGGAGCATCGGAAGCACTGTGCAGCATGGACCCCATGGAGGTGGACGTGGGCTGGGAGGCAGGAGTTTGAGGTCTCATTTTTACAGGGTCTTGTGGGGAAACAGAACAAGTGCTCTCTGCCCCACCTCAGGATTACTTCAGGGACGCATCAAAATCCCCTCCGAGTTACTGCTAAAACTTCAAAGTTCTCGGCACCTTCTTTATGCTCTGGTGGTCTGGAGCCATGGACACGTTTAAATATCATAGGACGAGGAGCCTGGATAATCAGTCCCTAGGTGGTTTTTCCTTATTTGGCACGTTACCAGGACGTGCATTTTGGTTAATACAGGGTACAATTTGTACATTATGCTACAGTTTGTTTGTGACTTCCTGGTTCCCCTTTGCAATCTTATTTCCTGCTAAAATTTACCAGAAGGGGACTGGAAGGGTAGTGGGTGCTAAGGGGGACCAGGACAAGATACAATTTTCATACTAGATGTCATGGTGTAGATGAAGAGTAGGGGGAGATAAGGGAAGGCAGAGGGAGTGGTGGAAAGCCAAGCAATTAGGGTTGGATAAGGGGGTTTCAGAATTCTTGAGCCTGGAGGTGGCACATTTGTGGGTAATAACATCTCTGTGGCTGAGGTAGGGTGGAGGAGGAGCTCATGGCAGGTGAGCAGGTTGAGAATGAGGGTTAGGATGGTTGGGGTGTCTGACATTAGGATTAGTGGTTAGGGTGTGAGGGACAGGCATTAAGTAGGGGAGAGAACAAGCATGTGTAGCATCCCTACTATGTGCCAGGCACTGAGCTAAGCACTTGAGGAATATCTCATTCCATGAGTGACCAGAGAGGCTGTCCATTTCAAGTTCCCTCTTCTTCCCTCTACTCTTCTTCACTCATCACCCATTCTTTCCTCTGTGGCTGTAGAGTCATCATGCCCTGAGTCTGAGGGTAAACAGGCCCAATGGCCACCCTCCTGTGGACACTCCCATCTGCTCGGTCTTCCTCCTCGACCCTTTGGATGCCCAGAACTGGACCCCCAGCATGCTTCAGATGGCCTCTAAACAGGGCAGAGATCAGTAGAACCGTGACTTTCCACTTCTCACATCTGCGGCTACTCCATTTCCTTTTGCTACGCTGGTGTCTGAAGTATCACCCAATGACCATCATTTCTATTTCTCCTCTCATGGATGCCCCCAGTCAGGCTTCCCACATGTAGGACACCTTATTCCTGTACTTGGTGATCTCACTTCCACTTGGATGCATCTTGGGTCTTCTGACTCTAGCCACCCAGATCCACATCCAGTCTTGGGGCAGCTTCTAGGTCAAGAAGAGGCTTGAGTCTGAACTTAAGCTCTTGAGAGTTCACCTTTTCCTTCCTTTCCTGTTCTCAGCAATCCACTTTTGCTTACATCTAATGAGTAAAGACAACACCGGTGGAGGAACTGAACAGAGCTCGGGGAGGATGCCAATGCCCAAGCCAACGAGCAGGGGCATCCAGGGAAGTTCTGAGAGCTCCCAGTGAAGCCGGAGAGGAATGAAGAGGGGCTGTCCTGAGTCCCACCTCAGAATGGAGACCCCTGGGGGAACTCACTGATAGGAAAAAGGAGGAAGGTTCCAGGGTGAGATGGCAGGGGAGGGAGATGGGTGCTGAAGCCCAGTGGGCAGAGCCAGGAGCAATGAGGGAAACTGCACAGTCCAATTTAGGCTGGAGCTGAGGTTGCTTGGGGCAGCCCCCCTCCCCTCCCCTCCAGCCTGAAGATCTAACAGGAGGATGACCACTTGACGTAGCAGCTGGACTCAAGGCTCCACTGGGAATCTGCCCTCTCTTTGAGTCCTCCCTCTCCTGAGGACCTTCCTCCTTCTTGATTCTCCTCCTCCTCCTCTCCTTTCAGAGTCTCCTCACAGAAGCTGGAAGTCAAACCTGAACCTAGAGATTATTCCCATTCCTCAGGTCTCCTCCAAAACCCTGCCTCCAGCCTAGCCACACAGTGCTCTTCTCCTCAGCACTCCATGCAAGTCCAACTTGCACACTCCCCCCTCCCTCCCCGCTGTTTCTTTTCTCCTTCCCCATCAGACCTACAAGCCCATCCAGGTTTCCTTCCTCGACCCAGCCCTTCCCTCAAAGGCCCAATTTCTCCTCCAAAGGTCCAATTTATGTTGAAGACACCACTGTCCTCCAAGTCACCTTGAGTTTGAAACACATGGTCCAGGTGGCCTCTTCCGCCCAAAAAGGGCTCAGGCTCTGGACCTGGCACACTAAGTGCATCCACTGGGAAGCCTGACCTCTAAAAGCTCCAGGGGGATGTCTGGCTGCTCTTCTACTTTGTTGTGGGGGTCCACAGTGATGGGGTGCTGTTCCCATGGCCCAGGTCCCTGGCATTCACCAGAGGCTATGATTCTTTCTACTGTCCTTGCATTATGGCTTTGACCCTGCCCCAATCTCTAATTCTGTTATTTCTAACCTAGCCCAACCCTTTATTGTCTGTTATCTCCAGATCACCCCTGGCCAAGTTCCACCTTTAATTCCATCTAGCCCCCTTCCAAGTGGCCCAGGTCCCTAGCATTTGCCTGGGGCACCCAATCCTTCCAGGTCCTTCTCTGTTACCTCCCGGTCACCCAAGCTATTGGTCACTCCTTGGTCACATCCAGATCTTCCCACAGTCTCTGTATATGAGTCCACCTTGCCCCCATTAGATTACTAAGTCCTCATTACAAAGGCTCAGATTCTTAAAATCTGGCCAGTAGCACAGACTCACTAGGAACCTTGCTCACCCCAATCGGTGTTCTAATAAACCGTGTCTTTGGCTGAAAGGTTAGATCCAATTCATTCGAGGACCTGTGTCACTTGTCCTTGAATTTTGGGGTTCCCACCACCCCTAGACCTCAACAATAGTGTCTCTACTGCAGCGTAGAAATTTGAGGACATTCTTTAAAACAAAATTCAGGTAGTGACTTATGACCAGAGTCAAGATAAACAAGGATAATCCAGAAAAGGGTCTCAGTATACAAAATATCAGGTTTGTTTTCTCCACCAGAAAAGATTCTTAAGTGTAAATGAACACATAGGTAGTGATGGGGTGCTTTGGTGCTTGTGTTTGGGTACTTGTGCTTGTACCCCAATTTCTCCCTAGCCTCAGAAACACTATCCCTGACAGTTTCTCCCCAGCCCAAGGACACTGTGCCTAGCAGTTATTCATGCATGGACCTCAGCACGACCCTTATCTCTATCCCTGGTACAGCTACACAGAGCTGGGCTGCTCAGGCCCCAGCCCTCAGATCATGTCTCTGGAAGCCTCCCAATTCCTTAGTAGTTCCTGTCTTGTAAGAAAGCTTTCCCTTGTTCCACAGCATTCTCTCATCAAGACAGAGGGAGAGGGGTGACTTGCCCAGCCCAAGGAGTTTTGTCCTTGGCCAGCCCAAGGACTCTTCCTCCTGCCAGACTCCAAAGATCCATACCTCTGTCATCTCCCTCCCCATCCGGTATACTCCCTGTACTTTCCCATCCATAGCCCCCAAAGATGCCTGCACCTTTGGATTACCTCATCAGTGTCCCTGGCATTACTTTCCCATGCTCTTTTCCATATAAACCCTAGCTGCATTCTCAGTCTCTCGCAGGATCCTTTAAGAATCCTTGCCCGCGGAAAAGCGTAACAATAAACTTTGCCACCTTGAATTAAAGAATGCTTGAGTCTGTGAATTCATTCCAGACGACCTGTCCTGTACAACGGTCTTTGAGGGTTCACAACTTCTCAACCTCTCACACCACAACAGTAAAACACACTGTACTAGAAAAGTAAGGCCAACTCGGGGGCCTTGCCTTTGTCTTTTGCCCAGACAGCCATGGCTTGGGCTTCCATAGACCTTGTGGTTCCCGAAGAAATCCCCAACTCCGGAGCCCAGGTCTCTGGGCCATGACGTCACCCCTGGAGATGGAAACAGCTAGTCCACAAGGTTGCAATGGTCCAGCCTCAGGCTCGCCTAGGCAAGCCCTAGCTATCGCAATCTTGACATCCCGACCCCCACCCAGCCCCAAGTAAGCCCCGCAGGGAGAGTAAAGATGTGGGGGATGCCCCCGGAGCCTGTCCCACGTGACCCCGTTGGCCACAGCCTCCCTGTGGGTGCCCCCTCGCCCTATTGGCCTCCTTGGCGCTTGGCCCCACCCTCTGGGATAAGTGGGTCTTTCCTACCCCTCCGGTCTCGAGCTTTCCCACACAAGAGGTGTTCATTGGGTGGACCCGCCCCCCGCTCATGTTTTCATCCCCACGTGAGTCTCTCACATTGGCCATCCTGCTCATGATGTCCGCCCTCTTGGGGCCCTCCTCAGGCGCCAGTTCCACGCGACCTGCTTTCATTGGTCTGCTCAACTGCCAGTCGCCCGACCACTTTACGCTCCCTGCTCTTATGGGTTCATTTTTCCAAGAGCCCGCCCTATGCCACCTGCTGATTGGCCACCCCGTCCTCTATTTATGCCTTTCCATCTCCAGTCACTGGATTCACTCAAGCCACTCTACCCACCTTTGATTGGCCCTGGCCTCCCGGATCCCACCCCCTTAACCTGTTTCGCCCTCTGATTGGCCACCACGATCATTCCATGCCAAAGTAATCTTTGTGTGGGATGGCTTCGGATTGGCCAAAGAGCGCGTCACGCAAGGGGCGAGGCCTCCTGTATCTAGCTTCTTTGCATTGGTCCATTTATGTCTGAGGAGGGACGAGTTCCACTCCCCCAATGCCCATTGGCTAATCACCACCAGGGCGCGAGGAGGGCGTGTTCCCTTCTTGTTCGTGGATTGGCCAGCTGGCCGGGAAGGACGGGTGGGCGAGGCTCCGTTAAAGGTACAGAAGGCTGCAGGACCGGCAGCGACACCTGCCAGGGCAGCGGCAGCTGGGGCAGAGATGGCGCAGCGGGGCCTGGCGGCCGAGTTCTGGCAGGTGCCGGCAGTGACGCGCGCCTACACGGCGGCCTGCGTGCTGACCACCGCGGCCGTGGTGAGGTCCTGCCCCGGGGGTCCCTCACCCGAGACCGGCCCCCCACTTCGCTACTCCCGCTCCCTCCCAGAGCCCCGCGTGTTCCCAAACCTGCGGTTCGCACTGTTCCGTCCCCCACACCCAGGGTCTTCTCGTACCCTCCCCCACAGTCTCATAAGACACCCCCGTCCCCTCCCCCAGACCCCAGGTCTTCCTGTCCCCTCCTCCACAATCCCCAGTATGACCTCCCCCGTCCCCTCTCCCACACCCCCACACCCCCACACCCCGGGTCTTCTCGTACCCTCCCCCACAGTCTCATAAGACCCCCCCATCCCCTTCCCCACACCTCCAGACCCCGGGTCTTTTCGTCCCCTCCCCCACAGTCCCGTATGACCCCCTGTCCCCTCCCTCACACCCCCAGACCCCGGGTCTTCCTGTCCCCTCCCCCCACAACTTTCCCCCGCCCCTATCTCCACGTCCCCTCCCCCCAGGCCCATGGGTGGCCCAAGAAAACCCTGCCCCCACCTCCACCCCGGCCTACCTGGCCTGCCCCCACTGGGGTCTTTGTTGTGTCCCCGCAGCAGCTGGAGCTCATCACCCCCTTCCAGCTTTACTTCAACCCGGACCTCATCTTCAGGAAGTTCCAGGTGACTGGCCAGGGCTAAGGGTCAAGGTCAGGGGAGCGGGAGGGGGTCAGGGAGGGGCCCCCCTCCCTCTTCGCCTCCCCCAAGCCCGCGCTCCTCCTCCCCGGCAGGTGTGGAGGCTCGTCACCAACTTCCTCTTCTTCGGGCCCCTGGGATTCAGCTTTTTCTTCAACATGCTTTTCCTGTATCCTTTGCAAGCCCCCCTCCCCCCGCCCCAAGCCGGGCAGAGCCAAGACCCTCAGGCGCCCCATGGCCACAGCGTCAGAGTAGGAAGGAGGGACTGGTGCAGACGGGGGCTGGGGCCAACCAGCCTCAGTGCCTTCTTTAAGTCTCTTCTGCGTGCCTAGGCCAGGGGGAGAGCAGGACGGAGGGGCCCCCTCCCATCCTCCAGCAGCGGGTGTTCTCAGTGAGATCCTCAGGAAGGGGGCGGGGCCGGGAGAGGGCGTTAGTTCCAGCAGCCAGGCCTTTGCAACTACCTACCCCGCTCCAGACTTTCCGGTTGGGATGTTTCCGATAGTGCCCCTAGGTACAGGTACTGCCGCATGCTGGAGGAAGGATCTTTCCGGGGACGGACGGCGGATTTTGTCTTCATGTTTCTCTTTGGGGGAGTCCTCATGACAGTATCCTTCCTACCCCATTCCTCCCGCTGGGTGCAGAAAGGCCTGGGTTCTAGTGCTGTCTTTGACATGTCCTACAGGGCCCTGCTTAGACTCTTCTCCGGACTGGAGGTTACAGCCGTACCAAGGGGGGGGGGGCGCACCTCCGCGCCCAGAGTCCCCGGCACCGCTGCCCTTCCCAAAATAATAACGATCTGAGCTGAGGAAGGGGTGATGAGGGGCCTGTCCCCTCAGAGAGGCAGAAGGGTGCTGCTCACAGGGCTGCCAGGGTCGGCCAGCACCCGGCCCCAGAGGACCTCATGTGCCCGGCGAGGGAAAAGCCCGTGGCAGTGAGGTCTGGTGGGAACGGGAGGTGTGGATTTTGCATCCTCTTCTTTGCTTCCGTTTGCCCAGTCCTCTCAGCCCCACAGTCTCAGGCGCATCCCACACCCCCTTTGAGACCCCTGAGGTGAGCCTACTTAGTGGACAGATGGAGAAACTGAGGCCCCAAAATGAAAGTGACTAATAGAGGCAGACAGCCTTTGTGAAGATTATTCTGCTAGCGCTGTCTCCATTTTGGAGCTGGGGAAACCGAGGCAGGCAGCATTGCCCAGCCAGGAAGGATCTGAGGCTGGATTTGAACCCGAGCCCAGTATTTCCGGGCCTGTAACAACAGGAAGATCTAGGTCCTGGATTTCCTTGCTTGTGAAATGGGGAGGCACGCCCTTTGCCCGGACCCTTCCTTGACTCAGGAGCTTCCAGCTCTTTGGGCTCCTGGCCAGCCTCTTCTTCCTGGGCCAGGCCTTCACCATCATGCTGGTGTATGTGTGGAGCCGGCGGAACCCGGACCTTCGGATGAACTTTTTTGGCCTCCTCAACTTCCAGGCGCCCTTCCTGCCCTGGGTGCTCATGGGCTTCTCGCTGCTCCTGGGCAACTCCGTGCTGGTGGACCTGCTGGGTGAGCAGCCATTTGTGGCGGGGAAAGGGGGTCCCTGGTCCTGGAAGGACTCCCCTGCTGGGTGCTGGGGCCAGGGATGACAGGGTCCCAAAGTGCAGGGGATGCCCAGTCCTGGAGGGACCCCTCTACTGGGTGCTGGGGCCAGGGATGGCAAGATCCCAAGGTGCAGGTGGGGGTCCCCAGTCCTAGAAGGACCCCTCTGCTGGGTGCTGGGGCCAGGGATGACAGAGTCCTAAGGTGAATGGGGGGGGTGGGGGATGGTCTTTCTCCACTGCAAACCTGCACTGTCTAGGGAACAGTGCTTCCAGTAGAACCCACCCAAGCTATCCCTCCAAGTGCCCATACTCTCCAGACTTGCTGTCTTGAGCCTTCTCTTTGCCCGTCCCCTCTCCTGCCAGACCACTTAATGAGCCAGCTCTCTCCTGCTCAGGGATTGCTGTGGGTCACATCTATTACTTTCTTGAAGATGTCTTCCCCAACCAGCCTGGGGGCAAAAAACTACTGCTCACCCCTAGCTTCCTGTGAGTACAGCGGGCTTGGACCTGCCTATCTCTGGGGCTAGGGCCACAACTCCCTCCCCGCCTCCCAATCCCAAAGCTCTGACCTGTGGGGGACTTCCCCAGACCAGACATCCCTTCTCATCCCCTGGCCATCCAGGAAGCTGATCTTTGATGACCCTGAAGAGGACCCAAATTACAGACCCCTTCCTGAGGAGCAGCCAGGCATGGACCCTGTGGACCGCCAACAGTGACCACTTCCTCCTTCCAGCCTGGAAAAGGTGGGCCCACGGCTCTCACCAGGAGGCTTGCCTCCCCTCCCCTGTCTATCCCACATGCAGCTTGGGAGCCCAAGTACTGTGGCTGAGCACTCGGGGGGTCCCCACTTCTCTCTCCATCTCTAATGGCCCACAAGAGTGGCCCTGGCCTCTCTCCCCCACTCCAGGAAATGAGATCGATGGGATGATCCCCAAAGGATGAATCTAATAAAGACTTGGCAGCGTCTGTGCAAGTCTTGGCCTCCTGCTGCCAAAGGTCACTTAGGCCTGAACCCACCAGGGCTTCCTTGGGCAGCCTCCAGCCTGCGAAGCCTTTGTCACACCTCTGAGTGGGAAAGGGAATTTCCCACCTCTCCAGGCTGCTGGCTGTCCTCCTGGGTGGGACTTCAAGCTTAAGGAGTCTCTGCAGCTTCTCCCAGGGTTTCAATCTTCAGGGCAATTTTTGCCCTATTTGGTGCTACCCTCGTGGTACAGTGGGTCAGCCCTCTCCCAGAGCTGGCCTAGGAGAATCTTAAATGGGGTTCAAAGCCAGAGGGGGCTCCCTGAACACGTGGAGTCTGTTACTCACAGAGAAAGTGCCAGGAGCAATGAGAATGTAATGCAGTCTCTCCAGCCTGGGGCCAGACCACCCAACTGAGCAGTGGAGGCAACAGTAGGGGGCAGGAGGCAGGAAGTACCTCTGTTTCTTTAGCTATAAAATGGAGACATTGGTCTACAGTGCTTAAATAAGTCTGCTGCAAGATGGTGCTAGGGGAGTACCCGTATGAGGACCCTCCCCTGGCCTACCTAAGCCGAGCTGCTCCTCTCATCCCCAGGACTTTCATCGTCCTTTCTGGGACCACTGCTGCAAGCATCCCACACTCCTGCTTCCCCTCAGCCCCTACTCAAGTCCCATCCTTCCCTCCATTCATGCCCTGGGAACAGGATCCAATCAACTTGGCCATGGTTCTTGGATGAGATGTGCCAACCTGCTCCAGGCCCCAATGACTATTCCACAAATGAAACTCAGCCTTTATGAGTGTAAGCCCCCCGAAAACAGGGACTTCTTTGGTTTTTGTACTTCAGTCCCAACCGTGCCTGACACAATAAATGCTTTGTTCACAATTGATCCCAAACCTTGGGGCAGGAAGGGGTGGTCTGAACCAGCCTCCTCCATGGGTGGCTGTGGTGCTACATAGCCATTACTGCGTCTTTTAAGACTTGGCTGCCTGGGCACTCAGGCATGTGGGACTTCTGCTGCTCCTCCATTGGCACAAATTTAGGGCTAGCCCAGGGACGGGCACTTGCTAGGTTTTTTCCTGATCTCCATGACCACAGCTACCTCTCTCCTCTGGGAGCTGGGGGGGGGGGAGGGCATCCAGGCCTCTGATGTACCCCACGGACCATCTGTCCATCTCTGCCTGCTTTGACAAGGGAGTGGCTGGGATCCAGCTGGGGGTCATAGCCAGTGGGCTGCCGGCCCCCTCAGAAAGCCACCTTGGACCCGTGGTGGCCATGCTGACCAGGCCTGGTCTTGGGCAGCCAGGATAGATGATGGCTAGAGGGTCTGGCTTTGGATCCTGGGCGTGTCACTACCAAGGTGGTGCTAACAATTGGCTGGTGGAAACAGGTCAGCCCCTAACCTGTGGGGGTAGAGGATGCTAAGGCCCACGGACCTCTCAGGATATCCCAGCTCCAGTGTTCTGAGGAAGCCACTCAGTGGACATGGACCTGGGCACAGGCAGGCTTCCTCCACACTCTTGTGGTCAAGGCCAGTTAGTCCCAAGTTCAGATCCAGCCTCAGACACTAGCCACAATTTGCCTCGGTCTCTTCAGAGGAGATCATACCGGCACCTACTTCACCAGATTTGCAAAGCACTTAGCCCTTCCTTAGTCTCCTCCCACCAGACTGAGAACCCAGGGTCAAGAAGGGTTTGAGAAGCATCTGGTTGATGGGATGATCAACCTCTTCCAGAGAGCTAAGGTGCCCAAGGAGGCCAGGAAGAGGGACCTCCCCCCTCCCCCATCAGATAACTGAGAGGCAGGAAGACGCTCACCCCCCCCAATGCCCCTGGCAAGTGCCAAGCAAGTGATCACCCCACATTCTCTTTATTTAAAAAAAATCTTCCTAGCTGTGCCCTGGGCACCTAGACACACAAAACAAATCCTATCAGACCAGAAAAGCCCTTCTGCACCTCCCCTGACCCCGGGCCAGGGACACGATCCACAGGCAGACTGAGCAGGGCAGTGGAAGAAGGGCCCCAGTGAAGGGCTGCCTCCCTCCTCCCTGCCTGGGGCACCCACCCAGCCTCTTCTGCCCACAAAGAAAAGGAAAGAGGGTCCCATCTTCCAGAGACTCCACCGCGAGGGGATAGTGGTCTACCACGCTGGGGCGGTGTTGGCCAAACGTCTCATCCGCCTGTGGAGCAGAAGAGACAGTTAATGAGGGAAGGAGGTGGGAGCCTAGGGATGACAGCCAGGCCCTCACTGAGCACCCAGTCCAAACGCAGCCCTCCCTCTAGCATCCATAAGTGGGCCGAGCTGGGGCCTAAAGGACCCTGGGAAAGGCTGAAGCAAGCTCAGAGCCTGACCACCATGGGGAGGAAACCCTGGCTAGCTGGGGGCAGTCCCTCCTTTGGCCCAAACAGAGCCCTGGGGCTTGGAGTCTGGACAGACCTGGGTTTAAACCCAACCCCAGACACAAGCTAGGTGACCCAGGGGAAGTGAGTTCATTTGCCTGAGCCTCAGTTTCCTCATCTGTAAAGCAGGCATCCTAATAGGGGCCCAGAGCGCATGACAGAGGCACCTGGTATTCCTGTCCTGGTCTCTGATCTTTTTCTCCATCTCCGCATCAGTCAAGGTCTCCAGGAGTGGGCACCACTGGTCAGCATCGCCAGTGTTCCGAATCGCAATCTCTACTGTGGGCAAAGGGTTCTCACTGAGGAGGAACAGACACATGTGTGAAGGAGATGCTCTGGACCTTCGGGTCCTCCTCCCTCCTGGCCCCTACTGGGGCTGCCTCAGTGCTCCGCCGCGGGTTTGTCTTCAAAGGATGCCCTCTGTTCTCCCCAGAGAGGGCGGCCTGAGCCCACGCCACTGAGAGTAAGAGTCAGCACCAAGGCAGCAGGGAAAGCACGAGCCCCCGCTGGTGTGACCCAAGTTCACGAGAAGTCAGGCGTGCACCACTCTGGGTTCAGCACTGCGCGTGCGCACATACCATGCACGCTCATGTGCACACACATGTGCATGCACATGCACATACACATACATGCACGCACACGCACCCACATAACACAAGCACACATACACACTAGCGCACACGTACACGCGTGGACACACACACACACATAAATGCCCACACGTGCAGTGTGCACATACACATGCACACATACATGCATGCTCACATACATGCTCACGCACACACACACGCCCCTGGGGGCGGGGGGCATAGCAACACGCTGAACCTCAAGGACCCCAGGCAGGGCCAGCCGCCCACCTTGCCACCCTCCACGATGGCCGGCCTGGTCTTTCCTCCAGCACCACATCTGAGGTGGGGAATCCCTGGCCAGCTCAAATACCTCGTCAAGGCCTCCACCCTCACTAATCCCCCTGCCCCCACACCCTCCCATTTTTTCCGGATGTGTTTCATAGATGCATCTGTGTGACCTGCCTAGATCATAAGCTCCTCGAGGGCAGGGGCTGACTGGTCTCCTCTTGGCAGCAACCCCCACCGACTCATTGTCCTGAGGAATCAGCATGTGCAGAGACACAGACACAATCGATACAAGCATGCTGAGCTGGGGGCACTATGCTGAGTCTGGGAGGAAAGCAGAGTTTCCAAGGGGGAGACGAGGGAGACGCTGCCACGCATGGGGACAGCAGGCGCAAAGGCGCCAGGACGCCATTCTGGGAGTTATGGGAGCTCAGGCCTCAGGCCAAAAAAGCACTCTGTCTTCTCTCCCCCGTCAATAGGGAACCACTGAAGGTTGTGGAGCAGAGTGGTTATCTGGGCAGACCACGCTCTAGGAATATCAAGTTAGCATCTGCACCGAGGATGGAAAAAGGAGCCGCTGGATGCAGGAAACTAAGCCTAGGCTAGGGGATGAAAGGTGAAGCCATGGCAATGGAACATGGCAATGACACAGGGAACGGCCCCCGTGGGGTCATCCAGGGGACCAGCAGGCAGTCAGAGATACGGGCCTGGAGCTCGCGAGAGAGGTGAGGGCCAGACAGCAAAGACCTGGGCTGAGGCCTGCGCTGACCCATCTGGCTGGGTGACACTGAGCAAATCGCTGAACCTGTCTATCCCAGGCAGCTTCTGTCTCCAGATGCGCCACGGCCTGCCTTGGGAGGCTCCTCGGCGAATGCAGAATGGCTGTTTAAGGGGTGCGGTGTTCAGGAAGGAATGTGCTAGGTGCCACTAAGGTTCTTCCTCTCCCCTGTGCTGCTAGGATCTGTGGCCATGAAGGGCATTTCTGTACTAGGAATTCCCTATGCAGAAGAAAGAGTAGATCTACACAAAAAAAAGGCCTTTGATTACACTCCTCCCAAGGGAATTCCTAACCCATGCTTTCAATCCTAAGGCCACCACAACCCAGGCCTGTAACGCTGACTCAGAGGCAACTGGTGGCACAGCAGGCCTGGGCCTGGAATCCTCAGTTCAAATCTGCTGCTGGCCATGTGACCCTGGCCAAGTCACTTTACCCGTCTGTCTCAGTTTCCTCAACTGCAAGATGGAATAACAATAGAACCTTCCTTGCAGGGTTGCTGTGAGGACTGAGCACTCAGGACCATGCCTGGCACACAGCAGGCACTAGATAAGTTCTTACGCCCTTTCTTCTGCCTTACCCAAACCCTGATCCTGACGGGCACAACGGAGCTGCCCTCTCCTGGCCCTCCCCTCCTCCAATATGCGAGTGACCAACTAGTACGTGTGCAAGTGCCCAGCCCACTCCTAGATGGGAAGCTCTACGAGGGCAGGCAGGCTTGGCATCCCCCCAACCTACCATCTAGCCCGGCACTCTGCACAGAAACCGGCCTGACCTGAAGCAAAGCTGATGACCCTCATCTCTACCCACGTGCGCACATCCCCGGCCAAGGGCCAGGCAGAAGCGGCCTGGGGAAGGGAGCATCGAATCCAGAAAGAGTTCCAGCCATCCTCCAGCTGGTGAGGACATGCTCAAGACGGAGGGGCTTGGCCCCAACTATGCTGATCAAGGTCACCCCGTCCTGGAGGCTGCAGGCGACAAATAAGCTCCAGGCGCCGATGGCCGACTGGTGGGACATCAGTGGCCTGCTGTGGGCTTGGGGCTCTGGGAACTGACGACAAGCCCACACGTGAATCGTGCCCGGGGAGGAAGGAGTGGGGACCAAGCCAGCCAAGCACACGCCTGGTGCTCTACTGAAACTAGCCAGAGGCCGGCTGGCCTGACTCTGGAATCTGTACCCTTCAGCTCTCCCAAGACCCACTTAAACAGTAACAGAGCAAACCACCAGAGTCCGAAGCTGGGCCAGCTGGTCAGATGAGGTGTCTGCAAGACCCTCGGACCTGAAGGAGCCTCAAGTAGGGCCTGGGAAGTGGCAGGCAAGCTGCTGATGGAGCCAGGAAGGCAAGAGGACCCGGGAAGGCCTTCTGGCCCAAGCCAGGCCGTCCCCCCACCCCTCCCAGCCTCTGCAGGAATTACCCTGGGCACAGAGCCCACCCACCCTGCCCTCAGGCCTCCTTGTAGCTCCCGTATCCCCACTGCTCCTGAAGGCAGGCTGTCTAGGCCATTGGACGTCCGACAGCTTCTCAATGTCCAGATGGGGCCCCTTTGGCCACCCAGCTGCACCTCAACAAGACTGTGGAGCCTGCACCCCACGCCTCCTATTTCATCCCTGGGACAACCCTTCTGCCTCAGTTCATCTTAAGCCCAAAGGCCACACCTGCATGTCCTCCTCCACCAGGTGGTGTGGTTTGGGACAGTGAAGAAAGCTGTGGTCTCCAGAAAGATGACACTGTACAGAAGCCCTCTGAGCCAAGACCCGCACTGAACAAAACCAGGAAAGGGAGGTGGTGGCCAAGCTGACAGGCGAGGGAAGCTGGGCCAGGGAAGAAACACCTTCCCCTCTCCGCCACCCTGTGGACCT